GCCGACCACTGCCCTAGCATATCGCTGGCCATGTGGTTTTGACGCCCTACTTTTCCTCCCTAGAAATAACATCTAGGCTTCAGCTGTATTTCAGCTCCAGGCCCAGAAAAGAAACAAAACCAGCTACTGCTGACCTCCAGACCAGCTGCATTGAAGAATGATCCTTCCCTGGTGCCCTCCAATCAATCAGTGGAGACCACAATCTTGAAAGGACACACCTGGAAAACTGCTGAATATTCTATTGAGAACTTTTCCTGGGACCCTCCCCTAAAATCTCCACCCTTAAAAGCCTTAGGACAGAGGACCTAGGGCAGGGGTGGGCAAACTTTTTGACTCGAGGGCCACAATGAGTTCTTAAACTGGACCGGAGGGCCGGAACAAAAGCATGGATGGAGTGTTTGTGTGAACTAATATAAATTCAAAGTAAACATCATTACATAAAAGGGTACCATCTTTTTTTTTTTTTTTTTTTTAGTTTTATTCTTTTCAAACGGGCCGTAGTTTGCCCACAGCTGACCTAGCGCCTCTCCTGTCTGGAAGCAGGCATGCCTTTCCTGTCCCCCTCTCTGGCCCCCAGGCACATTACCATTACCTTCCTCACTCCCAAGCTCCAAAGGACCTTCCTTCCTTTACCGCTATAATTTGTTTCCTAATCCCATTACTTCTAGGAATTACTCCCACCTCTGTGATAAATATAAGTTCTCTTATAGTTTGAGTCTTGGCTCTGAATTCTTTCCTAGCCAGAATTCAGGTACAGAGGTTGCTGAACCCAGATTTGGTCTGACCCCACTGATCTAGCACCTGGTACCATTCTCACTGCCTACAACAGGTCCATTATATAGTAAATGAGTAAATTCTTCCTCATTTAAGCCATGGAGTTCATATAATGGGACAAAAATTTAATCACAAGCTAAACATAAATATTCTAGTAAAAAAAGCCTTAGCCTACAACTAAGAAAACAGAGCATTTTAAAGAGGAGAAGAATGATACAGGATTACTCTAATGAATTAGTATACAGGGTGGGGCACAAGTAGATTTACAGTTGTGAGTACTCAAAACAAAGTTTATTCTTATATCATTACTTATTAATTATTATATTAGTTTCCATACAAACAACTGTAGGCTTACTTTTGCCCCACCCTGTATAAATGATGCAGCTAGGTAGGGCATTTGTGACATTCCCGATGAAATTCTGGAGTTCCCATAACAGACCAGTAGAGGCCATAACATATCAAATTCCTATAAAGGAACCACCCATGGCCAAGGAAACCAACTAACGGTTCAGAAAAATGACAAAATGACTCAACTTCAGCTCTCTAGTCCCAAGCTCTATGGGATTGTTAACTACTGGCCAGAGAAAAAAAGCTACAATGAGAGGGAGAACCTCAGTCCTGACTTCAAATATTTGCACCCCAAACTTGTGTTACTTTCAAAACTGAATGCAGAAGCTCCAGTCAATCCTTCACAGTAGTTTGCAAAACATCCCAAATCTCTGCAGCAACCCTATACAAAGAATACTGGGGGATACAAAGGGTTTCAGAGCACTCCAATTGGCTTAAGTTAGAAATAGCTAGTTCCATATGCCAAACTTTCCCCACTTGCCAAGCCCCCAACGCTCCTCCCACTCACAGTGGTGAGATCATGACCTACTCCTCACAACATACCCAATGCCTGAGAGTGCCTGACTTCCAGGAATGAAAAGGTCTGCCCTTCATGTGGACCTCTTTCTCAGGTCTTTCAGACTCTAGTGGTCTTATATTCACTGTACTATAATTTCTTTCCAGACAATATGACCATTCCCTTTTCTCCTCTTTTTAAATGACTTCTTAAAGAAATCATTTATGTGGGCAAACATTCTTATTGGGCCATAATACTGGACAAAGTCTTATCACTTACTAGATACATTTCATGTAGTGACTAGTACTCAATTCTTAGATTCCTGCAAATAGCTCTTTTTTATTTCCCAACTAGAGGCCCGGTGCACGAAATTCATGCAAGGAGGGGTGGGGTATGTCGGACATCCCTCTCACAATCCAGGGCTGCTGGCTCCCAACCGCTTGCCTGCCTGCCTGCTTGATTACCCCTAACTGCTTCTCCCTGACAGCCTGATCATCCCCTAATCACTCCCCTGCCGGCCCTATTGCCCCTAACTGCCCTCCTCTCCAGGCCTGGTCACCCCTAACTGTCCTCCCCTGCTGGCCCAGTCACCCCTAACTGTCCTCCCCTGCAGGACTGGTCGCCCCCGACTGCCCTCCCTTGCTAGCGTGGTC